GGCAATGACATGTTTTCCTTGGGTGAGTTCATTTGACAAATGAGGTTTTTCTAGTACAAACACATGTTAGTACCATGAGCAGATTTGTGGATTTTATTGAAGATTTTATCTTGTAAGTGATATCCGTCTATGATGAAAAGAGTCGCTGTGTAGCCGTTCTATCCGTACCGGAAACTCGCCATTAAAATCCTCAAGTCTCCTCACACTAACAACAGTCTACAAGTGGATCAGAGATGGAGTAAACTTCACTGCAACTGGGCATCACATAAGCGAACATTTCAAGCACTCTTTTTCATTTTTTGTTACTTAATGTTTTTTCTACTGATTCCAGAATCCAAACTTACCACACTTTCCAGCATACCAATATCCACTGAAATGTCCCAGCCCGAATAGTCGGTGAGCACTCGAACTTGCGGTCGGCGACCAATAGCCCATGATCCGAAGAGGTGAAATTTACTACCCATAGGAATAGGTATGTTTTCTTTCGCATCAGCTTCAAGGAGAGGTACTGTCAGCAAAAGAACGTCATAGTTCGCCCAGGGTGATTCAACTGCTCGATGTAAGCTCATAGAGGTGATCATGTCGGAAGAATATGTATCTCCGGCGCACAATATAATAATTTCTCTGCCACATTGAGGAATGGCAGTAGGGGAAAAAATGCTGGGTTCGTCAACCTCATCAGGCTCACCCAAATCGGTCACAAGAGTCTGCCAGGTTTCTGCGAATGTACATTGCATTATGACTTTCCCTTTTGTCAGCCCACCTGGTATTTCGACTATCGGGCGAAAAATTAAGGTGATTGTGTATTCCATATTGTGTTTTTTCGTGGCCAAACCTTTTGGAATGAGATGCTGGTCTTTCAGTGCTGGTGGCATTTTGTCTGTCTCCACCCGGTATAAGCCGAGCTGCTTACGCAATAACCTTGGAGTTACCCGAATCACGTTAAGGCGGGCAGTTGTATTTATTGGAAAAGCAGCAACTCGACACTCCCACCTCTGGCTTTCGGGATTAAAATGAAAATACACAATGCTTGGTGGCAAATTAAACTTCAAAGTATGTAAGGAGCTGGTTAGTTTTTCCCGGATTTTGGCTTCTTCTTGCGTCCCAAAGGTGACAACATAAACTGTTTGACAGAAAAAGTGACCGTTAAAATCGTCAATCCCTAAAGTCTTGATTTCAAATACTATGTGATGCACAACGCCGGTGTGTTTGGTCTTTTCCAATCTGGAGAGACACCGAGTTGAATAAACCGACTTCTCTGGTCGTTCTGAGGCATTCAAATGTTTGGAGCAGTCGGTATCATCTGCGGTGGTTCGAAAGCATGGATTAACCCCAGACTCGCTGGTTTCAGCGTAACGGTAACACAGAAACAAGGATACTGACGGTGTTAGATAGTAAAGTTTTAGCGACTGACTTTCAGATGCTGCCTTGCTTGCACACACAACAGTATAACTAGCCCCGAATTCCAAATTACCACTTGTGTTTTTATGAGAGATGAGAAGATTGGGAGCAGTTGGGCAGTCAGTGATTGACCGCGGCATATGTAACGCTGCGCTATGTTGTATCAAAGCGAACGGCAAAGGAAGTTCCGTTATCACATGTTGTTTCTCCCGGTATAAATCACTTGGCACTACTAGACATACAAATTCTCCAGTTGTGTTTCCATGAGGACGTTCCAACCAATTCAGCTGAACCTTGGTAATGCCAGTTTTTGTGTTGAAGTGTGGAGTACTTTGTGCGATGACACTATACTTCTCGGTTGTTTTGAGGTGTGTAGTGTTCGCACGAAACAGGAGCAGGACAGTTAAACTGGGGGTGAAACCTTTGAACACACACTGAAATACGGCTGGGCGGGTTTCTGAATCATCCCACCTGTCGATGTATAGCACTGGGTTCTGTATCTGTGCTGGTTTACTGACCACCGGCATGTGCACATAGCTGACAAGGTAGAACGACTGTAAAAAAAAGATGGAAATAAAACAATATGTTCTGAAAATTACATCACAGGTTACCAAACCAAGAATCGAATTATAACAAACCCGAATATGAGGTTTGTTAGCTTCTTCAGGTCGTGCCAGCGGACAGCATTTTTTTCAGGCTGTCCGAAAGAAGCCAACCTTTATCCCTGATACCACACTAGTTCCTCATTAGCAGCATACTCAGCGACATGTGTGGAGTATCCAACTTCATCACCTCAAATAACAACGGATTTCGTCACCAGGAGCCGTAATGATGAAGGCAGGAATAC